CTACCTGTTCGTTCTGTTTTACCTGCTCGTGCAGATCTATTTTCCCGCGCAGATCAACGTGCCTGATCTGATCGTGCAGATTGACCTGTTTGTGCGGATCCGCTTGCACGCGCAAATATACTTGCTCGGGATGTTTCTCGACGTTTCTTCCAGGGCTTGTTGGACCAGATGACTGCCGTGATCGAAGAGTCGTTTCGCGCGCATCTTCCTGACCACGGTGGGGTGTCTTTATGCGGCCCCGCTCAACGTCTTCATGGTGACAGTGAGCTTCGCGCTCCTGCTCCTGGTGATGAGGATGCCCGTGCAGATTTTCCTGGTGCAGGTGTTCGCGTCGACGCATTGAACGACGCTGGTCGCTCCGATCTCCCTGGTGGCCCCGAGGCGTCGGGAGCGGTTATCGGCGCCGTGGCTCTTGATAACGCTGGTCGTGCCGATCGTATTGTTCTTGCTTCGGGGCAGGCCCGATGCCGACAGTTCCTTCGGGCAGTCGGCGTGGGTCCTGCCCGAGTTGGTTAGCTCCGCTGCCTCGCCGCACACATTGACTGGCCCGTTCTGGATCCGTGTTATGCGCTCGTGCGGACCTATGAAGGAGCACACAGGAGCTTCCCTCACCCAGTCGTGGGCAGAGCGCGCCCTTCGGAATACACGGTGGATGCTGGGATAAAAAGCCATCACCACAATTATCCTCCTCAGCATCACCCGCACCATCATGATTGTATAGGCTTACGACACATCCCCCGACCCTTGTATAAACTATTGCGCCTCCAGGACTGCATTTCACGAGGCTTGTCCGAATCATGACACGGCGCTCGACATTGTTCCTGTTGCTTTGTTGATGTTATCGTACCTCATGGTGCTCTTTTGTTGCCTTCTGGTGGCATCTTGGCCTGTCTGCAGGCCATATCCGGCAGTCTCGAGGCATCTTGGGCCAATTTCTGTGGTCTTTTAAAGGCTTTTGGGGGGGTTCCTGGGGGCTTCTTGGATTTTTTTGAGGTTCTCTTGGGGGTCCCTCAGGGCCTCTTGGGGTGTTCTTGGGGCAGGCTGGGGGCGTCTTGGGGCCGAAGGCTCGAACAGGTGCCCTCTGGACTCCCTCTTAGAGCCGTCTGGGGGCCCTCTTGGGTTGTCTTGGGGACTTCGCGTGCTGTTTTGGGACCCTTTTCTCGACCCCTTTTGGGGGCCCCTTCGGCCGTCTGAGGGCGAAGTTGACGGTTTCGTTGCCCGTTTAGGACGCTGTGAAAGCCGACAAGGCGAGTATGCGAAACATGTTTTTTCCTAGGGAATGAGATTATTTTTGGGATGCGTTGAACGCTTCGTGGGGTGTCTTGGCGGCCTCTTGGGCCATTTTGCGCTCATCTTGGGCGTCTTGGAGCGATCTTTCGGCGACTTGGGGTTCGTGGACCGTCTTGGCCGCTTCTTGGGGGGTGTCAAGTGCTGTCGTGCATCTCAAGAGCGATCCTTGGGAGCCCAGACCGCCCTGGGTGAGTTCGGTCCGGGGCCAGCCCAGGCCGGGGGGAGGGGGGGGTCAAAATCCTTGTTTGGGGTCCCCGGGGGGGACTATGGGGGGGAACAATCTCACACGCCTGGAGACCCACATCCTCTTCCTTATCCTTGTCGTTCTCCTGGTTCATCCTTCAATATGCCCAGGGCATTTGACAGCTTTTTGCTCGGCGCGCTGATTTTTTAGAAGTGCTTTCAGCCCCCCGGCAAGACAATGCAGAAACGCTTCAGACGCGATTCCTTTTATTTGCTGTGTTTAGCTATGTTTGTAAGCCTTTGTTTAAGAGCAGTTCGTTGCATTGTTGAACATTGCCGTTTACGCTGTCTCCTGGCGCGCAAAGTTCCCGACATTCCATGATCACTATTACTGCGCATTGCGCTCTTATCTTGCCCTCGCTGCTGGCTGAGGCGTTGAGACTCCAGGCCCGATGGCCGATTGGCCTTCCTGGTGTTAGACCTGTGTTCGAGCGCTTTGTGATTGTTGTATTTTTTTGTGTTGCGAGGGAGAGCGGCGGCAAACACGAACACGCGGGAGAGAAAACAGCAGTGACAACAAGGAACAGCCTTCGACCAGAAAACAATAAACGCCAACATATGAGGATCCACAGCGACGGCCTTAAACGCGCTTCTAATAACGGAGCGGAAAACGGAAAAAAAACACAGTCGCGTCGTTTGGGTTGTTTGGAGAAAAATCTCAAGAGCCCGGCGTGCAAAACGGGAAAAATGCCCAGGGCGTGCTTTAAAAGTATTATGTGCGTGGAGCTCCCCACAGGCGCATAATTATGTATATTTTCATGGACGCGTCCGCCGTGATTGTCTAGGTGCAAGAGTTTTCCGATATAAACCGGCTTGATGTATAAACGGGATTTCGTATGGTTGAGTGTGAGTGTCGGTTAACCTAGGTATGAGAGGGTCTGAATACGAGTGGGTCTGAGAATGCGTAGGTCAGAGTATGAGCGAGTCTGAGCGAGAGTGGTCTGACTGTGGGTAAGTATAGGTGTGAGTGGGTCTGAGTGTGAGTCTAATGAGCACGAGTCTGAGTCTGACTGGGTGTGAGTACGAGTGGGCCTGTCTACGAGTGAACGAGTGGGTCTCAGTGTGAGTGATGCTGGGTTTGTGTAAGCCTAAATGTGAGTGAGTTTGAGTATGAATATGATGAGTATGAGTCTGAGGGTCTGAATACGAGTGAGTCTGACTACGAGTGTGTCTGAGGGTGGGTGGCTCTAAGTGTGAGTGAGTATGACTGTGTGCGTAAATCTGAGTGTGAGTGTCCTCCTCCTCCCCCTCCTCTTCGTTCCCCCTGCCCCATCATCATCATCATCATCATCATCAACATCAGCATCAGCATCAGCATCATCATCGTCGTCGTCGTTGTTGTCACCGTCATCACCATCATCGTCGCCATCGTCGTCGTCGTTATCGTCGTCGTATCCATCATGTGCGGGCATGGGTCTTAGTGTGAGTGTCCTCCTCTTCCCCCTCTCCATCCCCCCACCATCATCACGATCATCACCAACACCATCACCATCACCATCACCATCACCATCACCATCATCATCATCATCATCATCATCATCATCTTCATCAGCATCAGCATCAGCATCAGCATCAGCATCAGCATCATCATCAGCATCAGCATCATCATAAGCATCATCATCATCGTCGTCGTTATCGTTGTCATATTCATCATGACGGTGTTTCCTGGGGCCTCCTGGTGTTTTTTGAGGCCTCCTGGATCTTGTTGGGGCCTCCCGGCGCCTCCCAGAGCCTCTTGAGGCCTCCTGTGGCTTCCTGTGGCATCCGGACACCTTCTTGTACTTCCTGTGGCCTCCTGTAGCCTGCTGGAGCCTGCTGGAGCCTCCTGTGGCATCCTGAAGAAGATCCGTACCCACGAGTCTGGCCAGCAAAATCGGCAAACCGCTCGAGACATCCTCAAAATCTGCCCCCCCTTGGGGGCGAACATGGGCGCCTCGCTCGAGACATCCTCCAAATCTTCCCCGAAAGCGGAGGATGTTGAGTCGCGAAACAGGCAAACCGCTCGAGACATTCCCGCCATTTTGGCGCGGACGGAGGAGTGCAATACCACCTGGCGGCTCTACCTTGGGGGTGCTGCCACCCGCGCCTCGCTCGAGACATCCTCAGACTTTGCCCGGCCATCATCATCAGCATCATCATCAGCAGCGTCATCACCATCATCACCACCAGCATCATCATCAGCATCATCACCATCAGCATACCATAACACATCATAACGCAATATATCAGGACACACGACATCATAACACACAACATAATACCATAACATACCACGCCATAACGTACCATACTATGCCATACCATACCATACCATAACCAAAGTCATAACATGACACATAATAGCAGGCCATCTCAAAACATACCTTGACATCAGGAGGAGGAGAGAGGAGGTGGAGATGAGGAGTGGGCGCGGTCGGTAATGACAAGAACCCCATCGTTTGGATATGGGGAATCACACAACATAGCTTAACATAACATGAGAAGGAAGAGGAATAATGATGATTGAGTGAAGGAGTTGACGCGGTCAGAGTAATAACAAGAACCTGGATATGGGAAATAACCGCGTCTCTACCTTTCATCTTTACTCATCAGCAGCAGCATTATCATCATCACCATCACCATCGTTATCATCATCGTCACCGGTGTCCGCATCATAATCAAAAACTTGGAACCACCGTTCGCATCACCATCACCACTTCACCACTAATCCTCATCCCCATGTTTGTTATCTTGTTTCTTGTTCTCTTCTTGCCCTTCCTCTCCTCTCCCCCCATATCCCTCTCCCTTTCCTCCTTCGTCCCATCTCGAAGAGGAGGGGATGAGGACTACGGTTGCGCAGGTGCGCAGTGCAGCGACAGGGTGGCGTGGGGGGGGATCAGCGAACCAAAAGGGACCAGTACAGAAGGATGCGGCAGGGGAAGTGGAGAAATTTGGGGACCTAGGTCGAGGAATGCGATAACAAGAGGGAGGGGAAGAGCGAGAAATTGAACAACATGGGTTTCAGATCGAATACGGATTGAACACTATGTGGGGGTGAAAGGAGGTCGAAGAAGTCGAAACATGGGCAGTCGATCACGGGATGTCAGTTGACGTAGATAGGATGTTGGACGGCCGTGGAATAGAATTGAAACGCGCGGCGCGAGGCAGATGACGAGTGCCATTTTGGCCGTGTTCGCCAGTAGAGGCCCAGGTCACCGTTGTAGCCGTGCCCATTTAGTGTGGCTTTGGTTTCCCCCACGGTCGCACGTGCCACTTCAATTCTCCAGGGCTTCCAGGAACGGCGCCACCACGCGCTCGGCCCCCGATCCTGCATAAATAACGATGTGCTCCAAACCGCCATGAAGAGGGTTGCTCGCACTCATGGAGCGCGCGTTTTCCTAATGCGCGCTGCACAGAACAGGGGATGCATAGAAGCGGCAGTGAGGGGAGCAGGCAACAGGGGGGAGGAGAACCCCCCCACAACCGAGGCGGAGGCGAAGAGGGAGAGGCTCGACAAGATGAGGAGGGCTGCGGAGGAGCGCGAGGCACAGATGCGCAGCCCCGTGACGAACGGCGGGGATGGGGTGCGGCTTCCCCAGGTCTGGCATATTGGCCCAGCTCTCTGATGCTCATGGTCGCTGTTCGAACGTTATTCCGCTGCCCAGCCAGGTCGCCCCCGTTGGCGCGAAGATAAAGTCGCACTTCGCGCGTCGCAGTCTGGTCCAGAGCTGCTTCCCTTCCCCAGAGGGGCGCCGCGACAGAACGAGGGCGGGAGTGTAATCGCTCGTCGCGCACCGCGGGGCGCGATTCGCGAAGTTAGGTCACCCTTGTTGCTGAAACTTGCCGGGCCCTTGCAGCCTGGTGGTTCCCACAGGGGGGGGCGGCGGATGCTCCTCTCTCTTGCTCATGCTCACCCCCTCCGTCGTCATGAGTATCGCCGCTTGTTTGCATCAGCGTGCTCGTGTGCATGATCCCGCGATTCCTCCACATGGTCCTGTTGCTCGTTGCTTCTTCGCTTCTTCTGGCGTTGCTGCCGATGCCGGTGCTGAGGAGGTGGTCCATCATCCGCTTGTAGCCGCTCGCTTGCTGCTTGCGGCGTCAGTGCTTGTGCCAGTGGTACTGCTCGCTGTTCGTTTGCTGAGTCTACCGCTGCGGCGGCTGCTGGTGCTGCCTGGTCCGCTCTGCTGTGCCCGCGCACGGCCCTTGTGCTGTGCTCTTTCAGGCCCGCGCCTGGCCCGCGCTTTCTCTGAGGGGAGGTGCGCGCAGAACCGCTGCGAACCCGCAGCGGTTCGAGCAGCTGTACGAGGAGCTGCTTTTCCTACCCGCACCCGCCTGCGCCGTCCGGGCTCCTGGCGCCTCTCTCTCTCTCTCTTTCTCTCTCTCTCTCTTTCTCTCTCTCTCTCTCTCTCTCTCTCTCTCTCTCTCTCTCTTCGGGCGACGAAATCTATACATATCCACTGCTCCCTGGCCAGGCCCACTCTGAACCCAGGAGCTGTGTATACGCCCTCCTGGCCCAGCCAGGCGGGTGTGGCGTATACACTGCTGCTGGGTTCACGGTGTGCCTGGCCAGGGAGCAGTGGATATGTATAGATTCGGTCGCCCTATCTCTCTCTCTCTCTGACCCGCCTGCGCCCTCGCCCGCCCTCCTCTTCCTCCACATTGCGGTACAGTGCCGTTTAGTATACATGCTCCGCGTGCGGATCATGCGTTGAACATGCAGGGATTTGGTATGAAAAACAACGATGAGTTCATGCATACATTTATTCATGCATTAATCATGTGTTAGAAATCCTGTATTTTTAGAAATCCCATGTATTAGAAATTGCCCTGTAGGTTCGTGCCGTGTCGTCGCGGCGACGACCCCGGCGCGGGCGTCCAAGGCGGAGCGCCGCCAGTCGCCTGGAATCGGACGAAATCGACTGAGCCGCGCTGTCGTTCGCTGTCGTTCACTGTCGTTCCTTCGACTGAGCCGCGCTGCCGACTCGACATCGACATCGACTCGACATCGACTGAGGCCGCCAGTCGCCTGGAATCGGACGACATCGACTGAGCCGCGCTGTCGTTCGCTGTCGTTCACCGTCGTTCCTTCGACGGAGCCGCGCTGCCGCCGACATCGACATCGACTGAGTCCGCGACCGCTCACGACACCGGTGTCCTCAGCGAGCGAAGAACGGTATAAAATAATAAACTTTTTCGCCGTCGGGGGCGCCTGTCCCTGGGCGGCTGGAAAGTGTATACCCCTACGGTGCCACCGTAAGGGTATAAACTTTCCAGCCGCCCAGGGACAGGCGCCCCCGACGGCGAAAAAGTTTATTTTATACCGTTCTTCGCCCGTTAAGTGTCCTCACGGCACGAGTCTGCCGTGGCCATCTGAGCTCGAGCTGCAGAGGCCTGGCCCCGCGCGGGGCTCGAGTGGACCCGCTGGAATCTCGTGAGCGGCGCGCCCAGGCGCACGCGGGAGCCGTCGGCCTGCCGCATCGTACGGGCCCCCCAGAATTCAGGAGGGAACAACACACAGACACAATGAATCGTCGATTCCAGAGAAGATATGGGAAAATATGGGAAGTGGGGGGAAGACAAAAACCCAGAAAATATTGGAAAATATGGCGAATCCTCTTATTTCTGTGTATTTATTTGTGTGTCCCAGGGCCCTTTCAAGAATGTGCCCGCTGCCGAGCGCAAGCCCCGAGAGCGTGAGAGCAGCGCGGCGGCACCCTGCGCTGAGCACTCCGATGTCGGCTCGGCGTGCGGAAAGAGCGTCGATGAGCAGGACAGGGAGAGGTGCGCTGGTCACCACCTCGAGGTCGAGGCTCAGGTCCTCAGCGTGGTGCGGGGTCGCCCCCCCCCCCCCCCGATGTTGCGGCCGTGGCTCAGGCGGCCGAGCAGGTCATGCAGGCGCAGCCCGGACCGTGCGAACGCAAGGGCCCCATCCAGTTGCGGGCGCAGCTCGGCAATTCTTAACGCGCAATGCTGCCTACGCCCGGGACAAGCAGTGGCGTTGGCAGCCGGTTCGAACACAGCGGTAGACCAACCAGCCCTCGCAATGGCCGAAGCACATCAGCAGCGCCGCCTCGATCCCGACACGGGATTCCCTGGGAAGTCCGTGCGCCTGGCAAGGAAGGAGCGTGTCAACGAGGCACTCGTCGACCTGACACCTGAGGGCCACTATAAGAACGCCCACGGGGAGTTCCCGTTCCAGGACGGGGACAAGAGCCAGGACTTCAAGCCCTACAAGGCGAGCCTGCTACGATATGCCAGGGTAATCATGTCCACACACGCGGCGGCCGAAGCCCTCGGACAGAAAGACAGTCCCCACATCGTCCTCTTGGTAATCGACGAGGCTGGGCAGGCCACGGAACTTCACGCGCTCATGTCCATGGTAAACTTGATCAACAGCGGCGGAGCCCTGGTCTTGGTGGGCGACCCGAATCAGTTGCCCCCTACGGTTCTCTCCAAACTTGCCAACGACCTGGGACTCTGTGTTAGCATATTTGACCGGATGTTTCACGCACTCCGCGGCCAAGACACGGCTGTGGTCCACCTGTCGATCTGCTACCGCATGCATCCGCAGCTACTCGCCTTTCCGAACGCAGCCTACTACGGCAAAGGCGTGACGACTGGCGTCATGAACCCGCTCAGGGACAGGCCCATCGTTGAAGGCATCCCATGGAGAGACATCACACCCTGGGAACTCGGACGACTGACTCAGCTGGCCACCCTCACTGGTTCCGACGAGGACGACCTTCGCGCAACCCTCAAGCAGTTAGACCCTCCGCAAAACGGAGACAAGCACCGGTTCCTGCTGGTCGACACGCACCCCTGGGAAGTAACGCCTAACCTCCAGCCAGGCTACGCCAACCTCCCCGAGGCAGCGCAGGCCGTGGACATCGTGCGGGCACTCCTGCCCGAGCTCGAAAAAGGCACCACCGTCAGAATCGTTGTCGGCTACCAGCTCCAGACGGCCATCCTCATGGATGGCTGGCCGCAGGGCCCCCGCCACCTCTGCGGTGTCCTGCGGAATTCCAAGGGTGGCAAGAAGGGGAAATCAGGCAAGGGGAAAGGCAGCGTTGTTCGCGACGGTCAAGACACCCCCTGCCCTGGATCCGACCCCCAAGAGCACGCGGTGGACGATCACCGGTGGGAAACCGTCTTTCGGGAGGACCGCAACGCCCATACAGCCATCGGCACTGGTTTCCCTGGACTCAGGCAGGTTGCGGGCAAGCATATGAAGAGTGGGGCTCTCAAGCTCACCACCATCGACTCCAGCCAGGGTGGTGAGGCAGACATCGTAATCGTACTGACCACGAGGAGCAACGGGAGTCACAATTGGGGTGTTGTCGACGACGCCAAACGCCTGAACGTGGCAATCACTAGGGCCAAGCGGAACATCCTGATGTTGGGAGACGGGCGCATGTTCGCCAATGCCACCTGGTCCCACCTGCGCGTGCTCTCCGAGTACGGGCGCTTGACCCGCCTCTGGGTTCGATTCGGGGGCGGCGCCCCCGCTGGCCACAGGGGATCCCTGGTCATCGACGAGAGCTTTGACCCGCTGCCCGCCCTCGCCACCTAGGCACCGTCCCCTGTCGCCTGGAGCTGCGATGCAAAGGGAGAGAACGGGCAAAACGAGCTTGATGCTGCCAAAGAGAAAGCGCGCGACGCCCAGGCGAGCGGCTTCGCCGAGCGCTACAACACTCCCCTGCATGATGACTTCGACTGGGACTCCCTGGGCAAGCTCATCTCGGCCGGTCTCAACGAGATTCTCCCGACGCCTGCCTTCCACGTGCTCATCCTTCTGGTGGCGGGACTACGCCCGCACGAGTTCTCGCTGGCGGAAACACCGCGACAACCTGGCAAACTCGACCGCAAGGCTTGGTAGCACCTGGCTTTCCTGTTCGACATGTCCCTGGGTCTAGACGCGACCAATCTAGTCTACAACATGCTCTGGGCAGCCATTGTGTGGACGCTCGGCCTTGGCACTCCCTGGGATGACGCGAACTACGCAATCCCCGACGACTCCCTTCCACCGGTGCCGCACGTCAAAGGAAGGCGTGTAACACTCTGTGGGCGGCGCCAGTGCACCCCCAAGGGACTCTTCCGACAGGCCCCCCAGGCGTGGAGCGCAGCAACCAAGGATTGCTGCAGACACAGGAAACACCCTGGAATGGCTGGCCTACAGGAGATCCTCAGTGGCGCTTTCGACGGCCCGAAGTGGGACCAGCTCCGGAAGGAGATTATAGACACAGATGGCCTCCCCATGGAATCCTGCAAGGCCCAGTCGCTCTTTGTCGTAATGATGCTAATGCTCCGCGAGCCACGCGTGTTCCTGTGGCCGTTCTCTCACGCAGAGCAGGTCGGGGATCTCATCGAAGCCATCCTGGGTTTCTGTGTCCCTTGGCAAGAAGCGCACCGAGGGTTCCGGCACGACTTCGCAAGAACCTGGGGACTCACGCTAGGCGACCTAGCCGACCTCCACGGCCACATCGAGGCAATCCTGCCCCACATCTCCATGCTCGTAGCGGTGGCGCACCACCACCCGGAGGCGCAGTCAGCCGGCCGCCTTCAGACCTGGAGTGAAATTGACAGACAGGATTTTCAGTTGAAGGCGCCGATGCTCGTCCTCGAGAAGATCGTCCCAGCCGCCTCCCTGGCCCCCCTGGGTACGCACCGCTGCTCGGCGCGCGCGCTTCACGTCGCGCTTGCAGGTTCCGACGCCTCCCTGGGTGACGACGATCGGCTTGGCGGGCTCGCCTACATCGGCGGCGGATTCGCATTTTCCAACACCGACCTCAACGCCCCCTCGCCGTCCACCCCCGCCCCAGGCACCAGGCAGGACCCCCCGCGCATTCCCGACGACTGGCTGACACCCGAGCAGAAGAATGGCAGGTTCAAGTGCGACAGGTGCGGCAAGGACCAGCTGCGCTCCACAGATGGCGCGTGGATCTCCGACGACACGCGCCTGATGGTAGCACAGAACAGGCCCCGGGCCTACCTCAACGGTGCGAACATGGGATGGCACTGCGAGACCTGCTGGATCCGACACATGGAGGAACAGGGCATCCCAGCACCAACCGGCGCAACAATCGCGGACAAGGTCAAGGAGCACGAGCAGCAGACGGCGGGTGCCGCAAGCGACGAGAAGGCGGACGCCCCCCCCTCCCTGGGTCACCTCCCACTTGGCTTTGGATGCAGCCCCCAGGCGGACACGAGGTCGCTGTCGGATCTCATCATGACGCCGACTGGCATGCAGATCCCTGAGCGCGCCAACACCACCCTTCCTATCCTGCGGATCAGAGATGAGCGGTTCGG